GAGAGAGAGAGAGAGAGAGAGAGAGAGAGAGAGAGAGAGAGAGAGAGAATTTATGTACGTTTTGTATAATCAGTTGAATTCCTGACGCCTCGAGACTTTTGGCGTCCAAGGACCGGCTCCTCGGCTTCGCGCCGTAATACTCATCCTTCTTCCCGCTCTTGATCCATCGAAAATACGAAGACATCTCGAAGAATGTGCTGGACCGATCAGTCGTCGCCTTTATAAGCACGTCGCCGAGCGCGTCATAACCGCACGATCAAAGTCGCGACATTTTGCGTCAGTCGCAGTGCCGCCTCGTTCTCTTACTCGTCAATTGACACTCGGACAGTTCAGAAGGAGTAATTGCCTAATTACGGAAACGTGCGGCGCGCAAAAGATTCGCGTCTGCGAAAAATGAACTGCCTCCTTCTCCGCGATATTGCTACTAACACGGGTACGTTCGTGTGGAATTCGATCGATCAACGGAAGCCCGCTCTTTTCCGTCGCTGATAACGCTCCGCTTCTGTGTGTAAAATTCGACGAATGCGAGATAATTAATGCAAATGCCGCGGCCACGACGCAACATACGGCAATAGACGCGTCGTACCGCGTTGTCTGTGCGATAAACAAAAGCGATTACCAATACAACGACATGCGGCCCATATGCCACAGGTGCAGCGCGTATTCGCGTCGACGACAGCGCGTCACATCGCGTCACGAATCGTCAACAACGGTACTCATTTCCTACGATCCCTCGAATCTCCCGATCCCCTCGATGAACACGTGTTCACCGCTGATTCACCGCGGCTCCAAGCCGCCGATTAATTGACTGGCGGAATCGCGGTAATGTGCACGAGAGCACCGGTGGCGATTGGATTCTACGTGGAATCTCACTAGAATGCAACGCGACAATCCCCTTGGTAAAACCCGTGTCTATCGTGGCGATCGCGCGTGCACGTTATCGCATCTGAAAGGCACAAACAGTCCCGGTTTTTCCATTGCAAATTTCGTATTGTCGGTAACCCGACGTGACACTACATGTCTTCTGTTGTAACTCACGTCGAGAGAGTCGAAGCGTCTAAGTCGCAGCGGAAGCGAAGAACGCGGCGAGTCCTTCAAGTGCGATCTCACGTAGAGACTGCCGGGAATCTACTTCAGTAATTGGCCGAATGCAATATGTTTCGATACGTGATTTTGCGAGAAAAAAGAAATTCCACACGATCGCAAGCGCCCGTGGAGAGTTATGCGTATCGCGAGAACTCAGAAATTTCTCTGGAGGAAGTGTAACGAATCTTCAATCTTCTCACTTGCTGACAAGAGAATCTCCAAAGAAATTCTTCCGAAAGGCTCGGTCCTTCGCGTCGCAATTTTTCCTTACGATCGCTCCAGTAAAAATTCACCCGTAGCCTCCGATTGACTTCAGAAATTTCCGCCAAGAGATTTCTTCGCGAGACTTTCGCGGATCTTCAGTCTTCCTTGACGAAAGAATCTCCGAGGAAATCCTCCCGAAAGAATCCCGATCTTACGATTTTACTTCGCGATCGCTCCAATCAAGGAAAACCGCTCTCGATCGACCTCGCAAATTCCCGACAATTTGCACAAATCTGCCAGTAATGCGAGCGCGTGTACACACAAAAACACACACACACACCCACTCACTCATATACTTTCTCGATCGCGAAAGTAAAAAGTGCGATTGCTTTTTTACGTGTTCGGTGTCACGAGTGCGGCGTGTCACTGAGTGAAAAACGTGTCTCCTTTCCGTCCGACGCACACACGCGCATACACGTGCTACCTCCTCCACCCACCTACCGCGGCGGCTGTCGGTGCACGACTGTGGTGGTGCTCGTCGCGTATTCTTTCGTAAATACCCGTGGCACCTGCTCACGACTGATCCTACCACGTGCAGAACATCACGAATTTAACCGTATACAAACCGAACGAGCGGACGAGCGGATTACGAAGGCGCCGAGTCATCCTTGCCGTGTACGCGCACGTAAACACACACCTTTCTCGCTTGCAATAATTATTTAAGCGTATCGGATACTCGCGGATAATACGCAACGTGTACGCGGGGCCTAACGTTACATACGTTTCGTCGCTTGAGCAAGGCAAAAAAAAAAAAAGTATCGCTATTGCGTAAAGCGCGTCCATACCAGCCGAATCGGAAGGCGAAACGAGTTTTAACGTTAACAAATGAAGCGCGCGACCAAAGAACGACGAACAGTCGGGTCAGGGTCGGTAGGTATTTGCGCGAGGTACGCTGGTGTTTTCGTGAATACGCTTCATGAAAAATGCGTACAAAAATACAGTGACATCGATCGTAAACAAGCGCGCGCGCGCGTGTTTGGTCGAAAGTAAGAAGATTAATTCGCGGCATGGATATCGCTGATTATAAATTATGATTCCTCGCTCGTAACGTTACGTCATTGTTCCGTTGAGAGTATTAAGATCACATGTGAACATTTCCCGAGAGCTCCCTTCAAAAATCAAAATCGGATTTTAGCGGCAAGCTGCTAATCAGCCTGACGTCATTGACGTCCTGTGTAAAATTCAATGACTAACTCGATTATCGGGCAAATTTTCGACGCAGTTGATTTTTCCCTCCAATTCAACCGAGTGTAAAACACATATCGATAGTGTGTTGAAGAAAAATATCAATTTGGTCAAGCTATTTGTTTCGCGTGTCAACACTTTGACGGCCGCATTTGTCGCGGAAAGTTCTCGTTTGCTCCATCAACAGGTTCATCAAAAGCTCGCTTAGTCTGTATTCAAAGAAACTTTAAAATAAATCCGAACAATCCTTCCATTTTCACAAATGATAATTATATAAATCTGCATGCATAATCGCGATTTATTTCCGATAATATTATAATTATAAGGATGAGTCAATAAATACTGTCGCCTTGAACACCTTTGAAGTAAACATCTTTAAAAAAACGAAGATGACCTTAAGATCTTCGGAGTTACTTCCTAGAAAAAAAAACATTATCTAATCATAAGAAAAGCTTTCTTTCTAAGAAGAATAACTTCCAAAATGTGAAGATCAACTTTGTTTCTTTCTTTGAAACTATTATAAGATAGCAATAGCTATTTATCCTGTATACTGTTATAATCGAGAAATATTTATTTATAAGGCGGTAAAATATCGCCGACAAAATAAAGTCACGTGATAGCGGCCGTCAAAATGTTAAATTGCAAATATTGCTGAAAATCATAATGCCAGTTCGCGCACAAAATCCTCCTGGTAATTGTCAGTCAGTGATCAAAAATACAATCTACTTTGAAGCACCAGCGATATGATCTTCGCATATTTGTCAGCGTCGCGTCTGTTATTTTTTTTCTATTAAATGCACGTATTTGCACATGAGCCGTTGTATCGCTGTTGTATCGCATTATCATTTATCATGTGGGCTTGACAAGCTGATATCTGCCCATCCATCAACTGAGAATTGCAAAGTGAGAAATGGTAGGAAACGCTTTTGCCTACTCTTCTCCACAGACAGCGCAACGATAAGAGAGATATCTATCTTGGCCAAAGTTGGATTCTCGAGACGCTATCGATGACAAGACTGGATTACCAATCCGCCTTCTCCTTTTTCAACGCGATCCTCATACGATCTTATAATGCACATTTGACGAATTTAACTTATAAGTACGACCATTTTCCCGACGTGTTCTTCACGTTTACGACTACTGCAAGGGTGTTTACTTACTGCTTTTCGCTTGTCCTCCGCACTCAAGGCACTGTGGCTCCTGTGCCTAATGAGATCCATGACTTTGCTCACAGGATTCCTGCTGCTTTCGGATCCAGCTCTGGGCCGGCCGCTCTGGTAATCCTTACTATCTTTTTGTTCCTTCTGACTTTCCTTGTGATGCTCCTTTTCTATATGTACATCCACCGACGAGCTCCCATGTGATCCTCTGTGCAAGGAATGCTGAGAAATATCAACCCAAGATTAGTATATTTTTATGAATTATATCGAGCAATTATATTTTTACATACATATGTATACAACGTAAAAGTAAAGTCACGTTCTTTTTCCAATTTCTAGCGATATTGTGGTTAAACTCGCTGTATTAGATTCATGCCAAATGTTTGTCGCGTGCTTCTCAAGTAAAATAGAAAATACGAAATTATCTAATTTTGGAAGATTAATAATTTTTTTTTTCAAATAGACAATATGGACTCGATATTTTGTAGACATCTAACAAGAACTTCTTATTTTCCTTTTAATAACCAAATTTCCTACGAAAATTTAAAGAAAAATGAAAAATCTCTCGCGTCAACCTAACAGGCTTCAAATATTTTACTTCGAGATTTTCTTTTATCTTACCTGAACGGCACTTTTCATATTAGCTATAATACTGGGTTTTCTCTTGCTAGCGTCCGACTTGCTCCTCGGTCTAAAAGCGTCAAAGAGCGCCGGTTTCCTAGTAGGGCTGGCAGTGTCATCGGCACCGCCGCCGCTTCTTCTACGTTCCGCGCTATTACTGCGACTGTTACTGCGACTGGTTGAACCGGACCGAGTGCCGGAAGCCTTTCGGCCGCCCTTGCCGGAACTCGACGAGCTCGACGGTTCTGCTGGCTGCGGAAGAGGCGTCGATTTTCCAGAACTGGGTGCGCTACCATAGGACGATTTTCTGATGGTCTTCGAGTGTGAACCCCACGTATCTGCAATTGCAATGATCTCAGCATTTATACAGACGCGTCTCTCTTAGTTCAGGTCAAAAGATACAAATTAACGAGCAGTTGGCTCGTAGCAATTATACGATATGCGTATTCTAATTTAACGTAAATATCGTTTTACTCGTTGTATTTTATCATATTTACTTCAACAAGTGCAATAACAACTACATTGAGAACAAAAAGAGCGCTAAAATCAATGGGACTTTGCTTGAACGAACAAAATTTGTTCGAGCAAACGTTTAGTCGATTGAACAAATTACACAGTTGCTGCGATGAATCGCCAATTGACTCAATGATTGCGATTTGGTCAGCAACTATATCAACGCACAACGTGTTGTTAGACACAATATTTCTTTGGACGACGGTAATTTGTCGATTCCATTTCTCTTTTTCAGCGAATATATGTATACAATATTGCCGATTATACACTCACCTGCCCGTGGTCTATGCCCTTGAGAACCATGGTTCGAATTATCCGCATCTTCTGTGACAATCGTCGGAAGCGGTTGCGAGCCAAGTTCCTGGAAAATCAACGAATATGTCTATTACTTTCGGGATAATCCATTGTGTATGTGTGTATATGTTAATGTGAAATCTTTAGGATCCGTGACTTCTAGGAAGCCTGATGGCTTCGAATCGTTCAACTTATCGTAATCCGTGAACCTAAGACACAAGCGACGCACAAACGGCGATTAGATATCACTGTTTAATCGCACGATATAGCCGATAGCGTTATATATTTATATTTATTTTTACTCATGCATCCTTATTTACGTGTGCTTTTCATACCTCAATCCGAGCTCAATGCGACATATCCGAACGCGAAGGCGCTCGCGACATCAGTTTAACATTAAAAATTAATAATACCATATTGGATAAGAAAATTGATAACAAGGCCACATCTGATCATGCCAATTACATAATGGTGAATGTATTTCTGGATTTCTTCTAACGTGACTCTATCTGGAGAATGTCCAACAGCGTTTATGAACGTTCCACTTTGTTCGCGGTTTCCAACATTTTCTTAACATTTCGTTCCTTAACATTTTTGTCAGTTATACCTATTCTTATTTTGTTATTCAGCCTGCCTAGAACCATGCGTGGCAGATTATGCGTGTCGACAGCAATATATCTGTCATAAGAACGACGAACTTTATCATCATTATTCGAGCTTCGATTGCTTGCGAGAAACACATTTGCTAAATATAACTATGATTAATAATTTTTAATCTACAAAAAATTACTGTATCTTTCAGATTCTCCGATTCAATGAAAATAAAGCGAATTACTATTTTATCTATACGGAAAAAGAATTATACAGCAAAAATGCATTAAGGGGGAAAAATATTTTATGAAAAATATTTATTCGTAGTACTAATAATATGTTTACTTATATCAATAGAAAATATTTTTTAAATGAATAATATTTTTTAATGAAATAAAAAGCATTTTTCAAATAAGAAAATATACATTTTCTTGAAATCTTAATTTTTCATAAAAGCAATTGTTTATTCTATTTAAATAAAAAAATTTAGATTTAAATAAATATTATATATATTATATTAGTATTCACATACACACACACTGAATAAATGTTTTTCTTATTTCTTAGATATTTTTTTTCTCAGTATGATTACAGAATTTTGTATTTGAGAAACATACATCATCATTCTGTTCTAATTTATTATCTTTTCGTTTCACATGTCCTGTATTTATATCTTAGGAATTCTCTGATATGTATTATTACAAAAATTTACAATGTTCTTTAGCAAAATTCATTATGCTTCTTAGCAAAATAAAACGTGCACAAGTCCATTCTTCTGCACTACTAAAAAATTGGAAAGAAAGAGAAAATATCTATTATCTGCAATTGGGACCGTAAATTTTGCAAGCAATTCTGAACAGATCAACCAGATCTCATCAGACACATTTCCCCACTCTAATTTGTCGTCTCCAGCGAGTTTCATTTTAAGATAGAAGCTGATCGGAACACCATTCAGTTTCATTCATAAAACGAGTAACGCAACAGTACTTTGTAAAGATGACTACATTCATCAATATCGCGACGTGTAAATTGCGAGTGCGCCTAACGACGGGTCGCGAATCGAGCATAATCGCGAGAAATAACAAATTGTTACGTAAGGCATTGTTAATAGGCGCCCCGTGGTCGGCTCGTTATGCGCATTCATGTGAATTCCCGTGGAGCACAATGGAAGATGGGATCGAAGAAGGGTGCGACAGGACGGCGACCTTCCGAAAGGTTCTCATCCTGGCACGCTCTCGTTTTTTCTTCGTCAACTTTCCTCCCACCTTCTCCACCTCGTCTGATTTTTTTTTTGCCAACATCCGCCGTGTGACATCGGTATGATATCGCAGCGCGAAATGCGTCGCGAAAAAATGCGAATCCCACGAAATGGGATACTCGATGATACCTTATAGGTTCCATGATACTCCGGACAGCGATCCAGATACGGCACCAGTGAGTACTTCCGTACTCTTCCGAGGGACACCGACATCTTCAGTCTCTCCTTCTCTTTTCTCCGTTCACCGTTCAACTTAAGATAACGCGGCTGTCGAACATTCACGCCGCGAGTGCCGTGCCATTGAGACTCTAATGCCGAATAACACCCGAGTTAGTATCGCGGTATCACGGCCACAATCGTCCTGAATGTCTACGACTCATTATCGATAACAATTTCGTATGTTCGTCATTGGTCACTTCGGCAATAATATTTTTATCGCCGGACTACGTTCGTCGCGATAAACTCGAGGAGATATATTTCCCGCTGAGCTTTCGTCACACTTTTATTTCAGACGACGATCACATACTGTAGATAGTGCACTCCTACGTTGAACGCTCTTCGGGGGACGATCTTCATGCAATTTAATCCGCGCTCCTCGCACATCGAGCGTGATAATGCCGTTCGGCAAAGTAATCGAGGCGCAAAGAACTATCGTGACGTTCGCGCACGTTGCAATTCGCGACGTCTCATTGAGGTAGCTTCGAGACGCGAGGTCTCGCAATACGAAAGCCACGCGTCCATCAATATATCAGTGTCAACTGACGGCAACGTGGACGACGGTGGCGAGCGTTGCAGAATCGCGTCTCGGCGATTACTGACGCTGCCATATCGATAACGATATTCCTTGGACAATTGTCATAACGTCGTTATCGCCCGGCTATCGAGATAATTCCGCGCATCTGTGCCGAGAGAAAGAAAGAGAGAGAGAGAGAGAGAGAGAGAGAGAGAGACACGCTTCTTATCACATTTCAATTGAATGGATTGTTTTATTGCTTGTTGCGAAGTCCTATCATTAGTCTCGCCGTTTATAGTTTTACGACGAAACGCGGAAGGAGCGTTAGTTTATCGATAGCGTTGACATTTCTTTCGCATCACGTGTCCCTCGATGCGTAGTATCGAACAGTAGGTTGCAAAACAGTTCGAACAATGAAGGAGTTGGCAGTTTACCAAAGTTTATCAAATTGAGAATCATTAATCACAAACTTTTGCCTGATAATTGTATTATTAATTATTATTATTATCTAGCAATAAATTAATTAAAATTAGTGCAAAAAATTAATTGAAAATAAATTAGTATTATTATTAGTTACTATTATTTGCTATTATTTAATGTTCTTAATTGTGTTGCACTGATTAACAGTCATTTTGTGCCGGAGTCAAAAGTCACCTATTCTTACTAATTTTGATGCTAAATGCTAAATTAAAAAATATAGCGAGCAAAATGTTTCGTTGGTAACAGTTCTTAAGATGCGTGACAATGGATCTTATATATTTTCCTTCAAAATTAATGTTATCTTTATAGTTGACAAATCTTTGCAAAAAATATGCTATGTTAAAATCAACATTTTCATGGTGAGACCACTCTGTTAGACTCATTTCATATTGTGAAAATTGTTTTATTGCCCTGTCAGGGTGTGATTTAGTGACAGGTTGCTTGTTGTAAATCGCTTTAGTTTAGCTGGTAACTTAAAAAGAGGTGATATCTTATCTGAAATGTTTTTTTTTTCTTAACGTTATGCTCTAACCATTGTTAATATCATTGTTTTACAAGTAGAATCGCAACATGTCATGCAAGTGTGTTAATAAAAGTGATTACTTATATTATATTAGTGGCGAATTTACTTTGTAAATTGTTAACTCGTTGACTTGTAAAGCATATGAATTATATTTCAGATGTAAAGTAAAAGTAGGTGATAAGATTTGAGCCTCTGATATTTGTTGTAAAACTTGTACACATATATCGATTTTGCAATAATGGTTACACAAAGGTAAATATTGAGCTACGCTATTCTCAAAAACTGTTACGAACTAAATATTCTTACTGTTATTTTTTTTGTTCAGGGAGTTCGAATTATGTGAAAAATATACTAAAAGTAGTAGATGCAAACAAACAGTTAAAAATTCTTGCTCACTGTTAATTATATTATTATTGCGTAAGTCTATCGGTAATTACTCAATTTTGGTAGTTTGACGAGTTCTCACGTTCATTGTGCCTGAATTGTTTTGCAACTCACTCTCTTTTTCTCTTCCTTTGCGTACACAATTCTCAGATCTGATGTTATACTCTTTCCTCGCTATCGCGGAAAGTCTCCAGCGGAATTAAATCTTTTTCTCCTTCACTTAATCGCGTCGAGCGCGTTGCAATGTCGAATGACTAAGCTGTCCTCCGAGAAAACGAAGCCTGGAGCTTACGCTCGAATGACGGCGCGTGAGTAGTGGACACGCAATTATGCGAGGGAAATAGTAACACTGAATTAACGCGCGTACGCTCGCGTCAGTGAAAATCTCGCGATCACGCAAAAACGAACGATTGCTATGGGATATGTATAAGTTGGAATTTCGCGCGCTTCACCCGATTAATATCAATAATTAAGTAGATTCACTTCTTATCAATTGCCACGCTTAATAACTCGCTCAGGCGACTACTTTAGATAACGATCTCGCATCGGCAATAACGCGATGATTCCATAAATTGGACCTGGCGATCCGCGACGTGTCGATTTCATTATTTAAAATGCGCGGCATATACAGGATGTCCCACACTCTCCTTCTCACATTAAGTGGGGATGTAGAACGGGTTGAGATGAACATAAAAGTTCTATATCGTTTTGCGATATTCGCAATAATAGTCGAGATATTAATTAAAAAAGATTGGTGAATGATCACGCGTGATATGATAGATGAATTGCAGTGGCGTTGTCTGCCGTTGTATACATTAAGTCAAACTGAACAAAAAAGTCCTCTACCATTTTGCAAATAACCACATAGATTTTTAGATATTAAAGAAAATTGTCACATATATGATTATGTCTCATAATGCACAAATTTTCTTTAAATTAATATCTAAAAATCTATGAGGTCATTTACAATATAATAAAGGACTTTTTTATTCAGTTTGACTTAATGTATAAATATACAACGGTAGACGGCGCCACTGCAGCTCATCTACCATATCGCGCGTGACCAATCTTTTTTAATTAATATCTCGACTATTATTGCGAAAATCGCAAAACGGTATAGGACTTTTATGTTCACCTCAACCCGTTCTATATTCCCATTTAATGTGAGAAGGAGAGTGTGGGACATCCTGCATAAACGCGTTTGTTCAATTTGCGCCACGGTCGTTCGCGAGAGTTTAAGAGAGTAGAGGACAGAAAATGCAATTAATAATTCATTAATTGTGCGACGCGCAAATATGCACAATTTCTGCAGATCTTGTTAATTGATCACGAGAAATTTTCGGATTATTAAAGCGAACGAATATAGTCGAGACGTAAATTAAAATATTTGGAATATTAAGCCGCGCGCGGGCGTCGCCAGAGAATATTTGATGAATTAATTTCCTCTCTAAAAATACATATTTTTCACGCGGCCGCGTTGCGACGGAAAAACAACTGTCTCGTTACCTGCCAACGGCAATGGAAACTTGGACGATACGTGTAACGCGTTGTAAAATTAGCAACGGATGATAAGCAGGTCTCTGCCCTTTCCGCGCACTTCGGCGACATGTATGAAAATTAAAACTAGATCGTGACGTCAGGAAATTATTATGACTGTCACGTTTGGATTAAAGCGGTCTCACCAACATTGTGCAACGCGAAATAATTGTCGTTCTTAAGCCACTTTATAATCCGATTAAATTATGGGACATTTTGTCTCGCTCTGCCATTATAACAAAATTCAACAAATCGAATAGAATGCGAAGAGAGGGATCATGAGTAAGTATCAAATTTATTCAAAATACTTTCTAAATCTTGATGTGTTTAGCACTTTAGTCAAGAATTGAATTAAATTAAGACAAAAATTCGATTTACTTGTTATATGGAGCCGAACAAATTTCTTTTAAATTAAGTTTTACAATATTCTTGTAAAGAGAATAAATGCTTCTTTTGAGTATATGACAATAAGGTTTTCTAAAATTTGTGTGATGAGAATATTTTGAAACTGTTATCAAGAAAATTTTCTTTCTTGAAGATAACTATGATTGCGAAGGAAGGGGAATAAACCGAGTAATCATATTTCTTAATATTTTTGTGTGTGTGATTCACTCTATACAAGCGGAAAATTACTCGAATTCGAGTGACTCGATTGTCATTCTACTTTCCGAGTCAGATTTCACTCTGAAACATTTCATGAAGATGCAATGTGCACAGCTACGAATGGAAATGATGAAACGACAAAGACGTGGAGCGATTTTTAAGAAGACAGGAAACAACATCGCAACTTCAACTGGAGCCGTTGCGTTTTGCTTCGCTGTCATATCGCGTTCTAATATATCCCATATGTGCCACGACGACGACGTCGACGACACACCCGACGTGTACTCGATAGACACGTCAAAATATTCGTCACAAGAACACCGCCCGCGGCATCGCGATTCCTCTTTCGAGCGAATCGATAGAGCTTAAAGGAAGCCTTGTACCACTTCGCCTTACCCTTTCCGCGTTAGACGTTAAATCGCTACGACGAGATATCTAGGGCAGAAACGACGCGATATTTAAAGAGAGAAGAAAAAAAAAACACGCGCACAGAAGACACGTAGAGTAGAAAAAAGAGAAGCGTGCGCGCTCCAGACCTCTCTCCCTCTCTCTCATTGTCGTTTCGACGATGACGAGCATCGGGAATCAACAAACGTGGCGAGGACCATTCGTGCCTAGCGCGGGAATAATCGAAGACTCGCGATCCCTATCGCGTTCGTATCGTTTCGCGAATCAACGCTCGCTATTAATCGACGCGCAGAACGCGTACAATGTAACGAACAACGGCACGAAAAATTGCGCGATTCTCCGGCGCGAGGTGTAACCGCGCAATAATGGAAATAATCGTTTCTTGCGTGGGAAAACCCGCGACATTACTCGCGATTCCGGAGCCTCGATCGACGCGACAGCACTTTCGTGAGTTGCATGTCGCGGCGAATTTCGTCCAGCCCGACGCTAAAACGAGCTGCGTCGCTAAGTTGATCAGACGAGCGTGTATAAGCGGTTACTCTGAATTCTTTAGCGCGATTGAAATGCCGTAGAGACGACCCTCCCCCCACCCCGCGATATGCCGCTCGCGAGGATCGATTCTGGGACACGCGAATGCTGCTACTTAACGTTGCGCGCGACAGTTCTGCAAACTCGTTCGCGCCAAACGGTCGAGGCGTTGCCGCGGCGATTAAATACGAATGCACGGTATACAAGCGACGATATATGTCACTACTGAAAATAGTACTCCATTTAACATTTGTGCTCGGAAAAAGGAAAATTGGTTAAACTGATATGACGACGAGGCAACTAAATGCATTTTAGGAAGACAGGGGACCAAATTTCTGGTTCTTGTCGGAATCCAAATTCGGTTATTAACCCTTTTGCTACGAATTTTATTTTTAAAAGATACATTTTCTCTTTTACTTTCACTTCATTAAATACATTAACGTAATGTAGCTTCAACGAAACAACTAAAAAGTTTTGTTTGGCGTCAAAGGGATACGGCCGGGACGTTGACATCCCACTGGAGTTTTTATGAAGGTATATTAGTCCCAACGGTAATAAAAGTGGAGTGGTAGCTGATGTGTTTTGAATGCCAAAAAGCTGTTTATTCAATTGAATAAACAGCTGAAGGTTATCATTAATGGTGGAGAAGACGTATGCTCCGTTGATAACGAAAAGATTAAGAACCGGAAATTCTATTTGCTCTAATTAAAATACACTTGGTTGTGTCATCGTTACATTAATTTGGCCGACCTCTTTTTTCTTTGTATATATTTTTCTTTCATTTAGATATCAATGTTCGCAACGCAAAGATTCACCAATAACAATGTTGAGACGTAGCAAAAAAAGATAATTACGTAGTACATTTTTCTTCTTTCTTTCGTTCTTTTTCTCTCTTTTCTCCAAAGATAACGTATATTTCACGAGATGCGAAAGGTTATCGTTTGTACGAGAAGAGGCTGTTAGCTGACCCGAGTCTCGGACATTGAGATCGTCAAGGTGATCCGCCCTTTTCAGGAGAAAAAAGAGAAGGAGGAGAAGAAGAAGAGGAAGAGGAGGAGAAAGGAGAAGAAGATAAAGCTCTCGAGTTCCTTGCGGCCAATTCATCCTACCTTTCTTTCGCGAAGCATGCACTGTCACGATGATCGCGCTTAACATCGGTCATTAACCTTCCGTTGTTTACGGAAGTTGCACGCTACCCACGAGCCTCCTCTTCACGATCGCGATCTTATATTGCCTTTCACAGTACTGCAACGTGCAAGGAGATCCCGACGAGGATACGTTCGCGAAGATACAGTGATCGGTGTTGCCTTCTAAACTGCGTCTCGAGTTTTGCGATCGCAGTTGGACACATTGGCGTAAGAATACTTATCTGGACGTGTATTGTTAATTTACACAAAAAACCAATTTGGATCAATTTGAAATCGCCATGACAAGTGTATCATCGACGGATTGATGGTGTTTTAATATGTAACACGTTAAACATGGTCGCCGGCGGAGCAAACAACATGTTTTCAATGTTTCTGCTACATCACGACTAAACGAATAAACGTGACGCGAACCGAGAGAGTAAAAAAGACTGCGACAATCGGTTGTTCTCGCAAATGAACGGCGGGATTACTCGTACGATCCGTCTTTCGCAAGACTACACGCTGTGATCTGGCGATAAACAAATTTGTGAGGCCGTCCTCCCTCCCCTCTCTCTCTCTCTCTCTCTCTCTCTCTCTCTCTCTCTCTCCTCGCGGCAATTAGTCAATTAGCGCAATTATAGACGAGCCGACTGGGACGTCGACGTCGACATTAAACGCCGACGCGACGCCGACGCGACGCGGCGATATGTACATGTCATTAGCTCATCGATCCTTAAAAGGATGACGCACGACGGAAATCTATTAGATTGGGCAACGACTCGTTCTCCTCTTAATAAAGATTCCCCCTCCGAAAAAAAGAGGCAACTAAACCTACGATACGGTCCAACGCGGTTAAACAATATTTAACGCGCGAGAATCAGGAGACGCGGCTGCGTTCCGCACCAGACATACCCAGCAATTCGTAATATATCACGCATAAATATATCACGAATTCATGAGAGCAATGCAAACAAAAAACTACGAAATATTCCTTATCAGAATGAGAACAGAGATTCCTTGTTGATAAGGAAAAAGGTAGGAAAGAGAAGAAAAATCGACTATGCACAAATGAGCGATAGGATTCGCAAGTTTTTCACAAAAGTGAGAGAAAAACGGCAAATGGGAGTGCGAATATTAAATTATGAGAGGACAAACGATGTCTGACAGTATCAACGCACGCACCGAATATTTATCTAGATTCGTAGCTTACGCGAGTGAATCAACCTTCCACATCAGATACTTTACTCAACGAATTATTAATATTAATTAATGCCCCATTCCTAGCAAATTATTGTAATTGCGCACTTTATTCTCTATTCTCTTTACGAGAATATTCTCTCTTTATTTAATATTGATTTGGAATGTCGCGAGAGAAATACTGCTTCAACCACGAACTGTTTCGCAAGAATTTTCATTGGCGATTCGATTGTCGGCCATTTCAGTCAAAAAACAAAGGATGCCTTCGAGAATGCGCGACCGAAAATATTTTTGCGATCAAATGAAAGTATCTCACTCACCCGGCGTTTCCTCTCCTGCACGAAGTCGATCCGGCGCACCCACACCTCCTCCGTGGAGTCGTAGTCGAGAGTGCTGCTGCTACTCGCCTGGCTCTTCATCTCAATCAAGCTACTGTCGAAGAATCTCTTATCAAGATGAGGACTCGGCAACGGACTGGTCCTCGAGAAAGTCATGCTGGTGGAATAGGTCGGAGGATCGGTAGCGGGGAAGGTCATGCCCGGACCGGTGGTGTGCCTTCTTCTCAGGGGAGGCTTCGTCGCGGAAGTCGGCGACGTCACTGTCGACGTAGTGAATCTGCCAGAGGATGTTGCTGTCGACGTGGACGTCGCGACAGTCGTTGTTGCGGAGGTTGTGTTCGTCGAAGACGCTGTCGTCACTGTCATCGTGGATGACGGTGACGGTGGTTTCACTTCCGAGACGCTGGATGTTGGCATAGACTTCTCGTCGATCCTCTCCGAGCTGGAGTTCTCCGAGGACGACGGGCTCGAGGCTTTCGACGTCTTGGAGGACACGCTGTCGGCCTTGCTCTCGGCCTTCTCGGCGACCTGCGTCTTTGTCACGTCCTTCTTGTTGTCGACGCTCGGGCTATCGATGTTTCTCCCTGGAAAAGTCATCACGCGCATTTGCATTGCATTCCATTTTCGCGCGAAGAACGCGAGAAGCTTTCGTTATTCGACTTGGTTACATGCGCTGCGCTAAGCCAAGGTCGTGGAGCGACACAAAGGCGCGTCTGTGACCCCGTTGTGAACGTTGGAAAATTCGCGCCGACGCGAATGAGAGTTGCGCCGCTCAAGGTCTTTCTCTCCCGCGCGCGAGCGCTGTTCGAGCGAGCGTCGAAAGCGTTCGCTTTTATAGCAAGACGACGACGCGCGCCCGACGAAAGTCCCCCGTGCATGCAATCGTACTCTCTTAAAGCGAATCAGTAAAAATGTTTCCGACTGAATCAGTAAAAGGAGAGTATTTTACAGATAATCATTGCTGATTTTCTGCGAAAACACTCCCGTTTTACTGGTCCACCCTTATATCTCACTGATTTTGATCAGTGGCAAATCTCACCGCAAAATCCGCAGTACACAATTACAACATTAACTATGTTACGCCAAATCCAACTTTGTGGCGACGAGAATTGACGACCTGCATGTGATTTGCGCGCAATGACACACTGTTTGCGAATGTTTGCGAACTGCATCAGTGACAGGAACAGTCGCCACTGTTAACCGATCCAATCAGCGAGAGATTTTGCTGATTGCAGTGCTATACTTATAACTGAACCACCAGTCATGAATACGGCGTTTCAGTGGAGAACACATTGATTATACTTTAGAGAGTAACCAGCGAGCGTGAGACTATCAAGAAGATGGCAATTTACAATGGAAGATATGCGTGCGTGTCCAACGTATGGACATGATATTCTTCTCACGGTGACGCAACCTCGAGCGTGGAAGCCTTATCGCGCTTATATTCGATATTGATACGCTCGTGGCCACGTGTACCGCGACGGGACGACACGCGGGTGGTCGCGTGAGCACGTGTACGCTCGCCGATTCCAGGTACACGGGTACCGCGTCCTCTCGCGCGCGTACCTTCCGTTCCGAAGCAAAACGCGTCTATAAATACGCCTAAGCGATCGTTACCTAAGTGGAGTGACTTTTCGCGCCGCGCGTTGCCAAACGCACGCCGCGCTAATCTTAGCTCTCATTGGATGAGCTGCTCGTAATAGCCGAAATTTCGCAACCCTACGGCTTTCCTCGTAATTGTCCGCGCGGCGGCATTCGGCCCGGCGCGATTACGCGGGTTCGCGTGCGAGATGACGAAAAAGCGCGTTCCCCACCTTCCTCGGTCTCGTACTCGTCCTCCTCTCGGCACTCCGACAGCCTCCTACCCCAAGGATACGGGCTGTGTGTCTGGTTTCGCGACGGCAGTCTGTTGACGTGCGACAGAAAATAATGCTGGAAGAAACTGTCCACGCCGTCCGAGGCCTCGCCAGAGGACTGCAGCATGTCCTTGAGCGCAGCCAAGGAAGTGATGGTGTTGTAATTGATCGCCGAGACCAGATCGTCCTCGATGTCGCTGTCATCCGTGGTATCTTCGTTCTTGTTGTCCTTCGACTCCTCCTTCGTCTTTTCCGCTTGCGCCGTCGTCGTCGTCGTCGTCGTGGTCGTCGTCGTGTTCTCCGTCGGCTTGGACGGCTCGGTTTTGTCCTCCGAGCTCGTCTCAGACTCGTCGTCAGAGGTGCTGGTGGACGTGGTGTCGCTGGATGACTCTTCCTCTTTCTTCCCGGCGGCCCGCGTCTCCTCCTTGCGCTCCTCCTCGTCCACAAATGCCTTGCTCTTCTCGTCCTCCTCGTCGACCTCCTCGTCGTCGGCCGACGACATCGTCTTCAGCCCCTTCATCTTGCCCTCCGCGCTGATCTCCAGCTTGTCCGCATTTGCGTTCTTCTTTCGTGGGGTCTCCCGCTCGTCCTCCGCTTTCATCTTTCGCTCGACATTCTTTTGGCCGGTCGTGTCGTCATCCCGCTTCCTATTGTCGCTGTTCACGTCGCACTCGTCCGACTCGTTCTGCTTATCGCCGCCGGAACTCTCCATCGGGAAACCTGAAAGGGAATATCGAATTATCGCTCTCGCTGTTTTTCGACACGCTGAGTCGGATTCGCGAGAAAGAAAGACGATTTCGCGTTCATGCGAAATCGTCTCTCTCTCTCTCTCTCTCTCGCTGCTTCGTCGCTCTGGTTATCCGTGCACGTTTCGACGTATACTACCTATAGCGATAATGTGCATATAGCGCCACACGTATAGCGGCGCACGTATAGCGTGCGCATATATAGCGGAACGCGTGACTATAGCCGATTCGCGACGGTCACGAAATAGAGAGCGCGAACGTATTCGCCACTTACCGCAATGCGCCACTGAGACGCCTATACCCGTGAAACAATGTGTTCTCTCGCGATTCCCTTTTGGGCCTATACTCGACCATGGAGGAAAAAAAGAGAGGAACACGCATACACGATACGATCGAATGACAACAGCCGTGGATGCGGGGGAACAACGTGCCCCGCTACGAGAGCGCGAGCGTAACGGAGAATGAGACATGAGTCACGCAGCAGAGACATCGTGTATTGTATGCTACGTAGACGTAGGATCATAAGACGAAAAGGAATAGCGAAACGTTAAGCGATGAAACGCGAATCCCTGGCCGGCCGCCAGTTAGTCAAACTCCGCTTCGCGTCGCGAGTGCTTGTTTACCGCGTGCTAGCGCGTGACGTAAAACGCTATTCGGCGAGCTCGTGGACCGATCCGTGCCGGAGCTCCGACAGCCACGGCAGCCGAGAGCTCTGCCTCGGCGGGAGCTGCGCGAGAGCTAACACACGACGATGGAGCAAAGCCGAAAAAACACAGCTTTATCATCCATAAATTTCAATTTTAGTGCGAGAATCGCCAGCGAAGATAGTGAATAAAACGGAGTCCCAGATCAACCGCTTTCTTCCTTCTCGATTTTATGTACATCTCTCTCTAGTCCCGCGTTTCTCTCTGCACGTGCGCGTTACTCCTTCAGTTTTTCGGAATCTCATTCGAAAAGTGGCAGTCTTCTTTCGAAGCAACGGTAAAGATACTGTCACTCGAAATCGCAAGAGTGAATGTTTCACTCACGCTTAGAGCGGATTCTGACGCCATATGAGCGAATGTTTCGATTAGAATGAATATGTTCCTGTGACGATGAAGTATATCAGATTTATTTTTCAATCTCGAGTAAAGATATTACTCGATCATTCAGATTACAGAAGTCACATTATATGGATGGAAACTCACTTTAACTCGAGTGACTAATTTTTCACTTTGCATTTCGCATGAAATTTCGCTCGAAATTTCGCTCCAAGACATTTAGAAAGTACGCTTCGCGAAAAAGTCAGATCACATTGTATTCACTCTTCAATCTCGAGTGAAGATATTTTTACTCCGCCATTTAGATTAGAGAAATCACACTATATATGTATGGAAACTCACTTTAACTCGACTGACTAATTTTTCACTTTGCATTTCGCATGAAATTTCGCTCCAAGACATTTAGAGAGTACAAATCGCGAAAAAGTCAGATCACATCGTATTCACTCTTCAATCTCGAGTGAAGATATTTTCTCCGCTATTTAGATTAGAGAAATCACACTATATAACACATCGGTCAATAAGTCCCCGGTCTGACATATAGAGAGCGCCTCTAACACAAAAAGTGCAGCTTGGTTCGAAAGAACAGACCCTTTTAGGCATACTGTGAAATGTTTATGTCATTAGGATCATTATTGTGTGAGTTAGTGAAGCTTTAGTGACGCTACTTTTGTTATTTTCAGAACAATGGAAAAAAAAGAATTTCGTGTGCTCATTAAACACTGCTTTTTGATGGGAAAAAATACCGTTGAAGCAAAACAGTGGTTGGACAAACATTATGGCACCTCTGCCCCAGGCAAATCAACAATCATCGACTGGTATGCTGATTTTAAACGCGGCCGTACGGACACCGACGATGCACACCGCTCTGGTCGCCCAAATGAGGCAGTTGTTCCCGAAAAAATCAAGCAGGTCCATAAATTGGTTTTGTCCGACCGTAAGTTGAAGCTGGATGATATTGCTGACATCGTAAAGATATCCAAGGGAAGTGTTTTCACCATTTTACACGACCATTTGTCGATGCGGAAGCTATGTTCGAAGTGGGTGCCGCGTTTGCTCACTGTGGACCAAAAACAACAACGCGTCGATGATTCCGAGAGCTGTTTGGCCATGTTTCAGAAGGATCGGAAAGATTTTTTGCGTCGGTATGTGACCATGGATGAAACATGGATTCACCACTTCACACCCGAGTCGAATCGGCAGTCAGCTGAGTGGACTGCAGCCGGTGAAAGCCGCCCAAAGCGACCAAAAACTCAAACGTCGGCCGGCAAGGTTATGGCATCTGTATTTTGGGATGCCCATGGTATTCTTTTCGTTGACTACCTCGAAAAGGGTGGGCGCATCAATAGCGAATATTACATGGCACTACTGACGCGTTTGAAGGCCGAAATCGTCGCAAAACGACCTCAAATGAAGAAGAAAAAACCCATTTTTCACCAGGACAATGCACCGTGTCACAAGTCGATGGCAACGATGGTTAAATTGAACGAGTTGGGCTTCGAGCTGCTCCCGCACCAACCGTATTCGCCAGATTTGGCCCCCAGCGACTATTTCCTATTCGCTGAGCTCAAAAAAATGCTCGCCGGGAAAAAATTTCGATCGGATGAGGAGGTCATCGCCGAAACTGATGCGTATTTTGAGGGTCAGCCAAAATCGTTCTACAAAACCGGCATCGAACGTTTGGAAAGGCGTTGGACTGATTGTATTGCCTTAGAAGGAAACTATATTGATGAATAAATTCGAATTTTGATGTAACTCTTGTGTTTTCTTTGCTAGACCGGGGACTTATTGACCGATGTGTTATGTATGGAGACTCACTTTAACTCGACTAATTTTTCACTTTGCATTTCGCATGAAATTTCGCTCCAAGACATTTAGAGAGCACGCTTCGCGAAAAAGTCAGATCACATTGTATTCACTCTTCAATCTCGAGTGAAGATATTTTTACTCCGCCATTTAGATTAGAGAAATTACACTATATATGTATGGAGACTCACTTTAACTCGAGTGACTAATTTTTCACTTTGCATTTCGCATGAAATTTCGCTTCAAGACATTTAGAGAGCACGCTTCGCGAAAAAGTCAGATCACATTGTATTCACTCTTCAATCTCGAGTGAAGATATTTTCTCCGCCATTTAGATTAGAGAAATCACACTATATATGTATGGAGACTCACTTTAACTCGAGTGACTAATTTTTCACTTTGCATTTCGCATGAAATTTCGCTTCAAGACATTTAGAGAGCACGCTTCGCGAAAAAGTCAGATCACATTGTATTCACTCTTCAATCTCGAGTGAAGATATTTTCTCCGCCATTTAGATTAGAGAAATCACACTATATATGTATGGAGACTCACTTTAACTCGAGTGACTAATTTTTCACTTTGCATTTCGCATGAAATTTCGCTTCAAGACATTTAGAGAGCACGCTTCGCGAAAAAGTCAGATCACATTGTATTCACTCTTCAATCTCGAGTGAAGATATTTTCTCCGCCATTTAGATTAGAGAAATCACACTATATATGTATGGAGACTCACTTTAACTCGAGTGACTAATTTTTCACTTTGCATTTCGCATGAAATTTCGCTTCAAGACATTTAGAGAGCGTGCTTCGCGAAAAAGTCAGATCACATCGTATTCACTCTTTAATCTCGAGTGAAGATATTTTTACTCGGCCATTTAGATCAGAGAAATCACACTATATATGTATAGAAACTCACTTTAATTCGAGTGACTAATTTTTCACTTTGCATTTCGTATGAAATTTCGCTCCAAGACATTTAGAGAGTACGCTTCGCGAAAAAGTCAGATCACATCGTATTAACTCTTCAATCTCGAGTGAAGATATTTTTACTCCGTCATTTAGATTAGAGAAATCACATTATATATGTATGGAAACTCACTTTAACTCGACTGACTAATTTTTCACTTTGCATTTCGCATGAAATTTCGCTCCAAGACATTTAGAGAGTACGCTTCGCGAAAAAGTCAGATCACATCGTATTCACTCTTTAACCTTTAGACTGCTGGGAAAACCACTTTGTGGCTTTGCATAAATCTCAAAATTCTGCGCCATGTGTATGTTACTTATGTAAAAAAATTTTTGAGAAAAAAACCACTTTTTTAATGAAAAAATGCCGGCAGCCTAGAGATTAATCTCGAGTGAAGATATTTTTACTCGGCCATTTAGATTAGAGAAATCACACTATATATGTATGAAGACTCACTTTAATTCGAGTGACCAATTTTTCACTTTGCATTTCGCGTAAAATTTCGCTCCAAGACATTTAGAAAGCACGCAAAAAAGTCGCGTGTAAATCGGTGCGATATGCATATACATAGTTGAGCGCGACGCGTGAGCGATATATCGTGTTTCGGAAATTGACCTACAACTTTATATCGACGTCTTATCTGGAAAGCAACAAATTGACCGTCCTGTTTTATCGTGTATCGCGCGGCAAAATACCAATTACACGCGCAGGCATAAGGTACAAAAATGCATAATCCACTACCGGGATCGTTACGGTAACAATTACGTACGTACGTCACGTTGCATCCGTCCGATATGACGTAACTCACTGTTTCTCTCGCTCTCTTTTACTCTGACTGCGTCTCTCTTTTTCCGTAAAACCTGCTAACGATCGAATCACTTCTACTCGGTACACGACAGTAAGAGCGTGTACACTCGTCGGCAAAATTCGCCGGCATCGCGGCGCGTTTTAATTTTACACGGACACAACGGAGGATCTTGAGAAGCTCGTGTATTTTAATACGTGGCCGCGCCTATAATTATTTCATCGTACGGCTATTCTGCGTCCGTCGTGTTGAGTATCTTACTTTAATTATAACGCCGACGCGAGTTGGAGCGAGTAGCCACGAACAAAGGTGCTCGCTTTATTAATAACACGGCGAAAGGTGAGACAGAGAGAGA